TTTTTTTGGGTCTGACTGCTGCTTATTATGTATTACATGATGCACAGAGTGAAGCAGATGCAAGTAGAAACACGCAGCAAATACAACAGAACAGAAGAGCAGATGCAAGTAGAAACCACCTTGGCAGCATTACAACAAAGAAAAAACGAAGAACAGCAGTTGAACTTCGTCACTTTCTTTTTCTTGAGTGATTGATTGATTGATTGATTGATTGATGGATGGATGGATGGATGGATGGATGTTTTTTACCCATTTCATTGTTGTTTGGATTAATTAGTTTGTCCTCTGATACTTTCAGATCGTTCTCACACTGGTAGCTCTATCTCAAACACCATCATCTTACGGAATTTACGGCCGGACGGGCATGCATCTGACCGCAGCTACGTCCAGAAGCACGCAAAACGTTCCCCTACAAAAGAAGAAGTGTGCGTTATGCCTTGACACAAGAGAGCGAAGAGCGAAAGGCAACATGGGTGTGCACCCTCACCATCCTCTTGCAGTGTGAGCCCGACGCCAGGAAGAAGAGCGTAAACCTCCAGCCCATTCAAGTACGCCTGCCACTGGCTGGAAAGCGACGTCAGCGATATATTCGTCGGTTGCCTTGTACGGAAAAAATGGCTTGATGTGGGCGTCGTCACATTCACGCTTTGAATCACCATCCCATCAATGCTGACATTAAACGTTTGAGCGAAATTGACAGCCCCATGGTAGTTATGCAGGACCACCACATACTTCACAGCCGTCCGCACCCCCTGCAAATCATAGGACAGCATTACTCCGTAGTTGGCGAGCCTTCTCGTGGCCCACACCTCCTGAGTCACCCACCGATAAGCTGTGGCAGGCGGCTGGGCAAGAGAAGTGGGCGACAGGGTGTCATTAGTGCTTCCAGAGGGATCAACAAGTGCTCCGCTTTCGTCCATCCACTCATACATCTGACGGTCGTTGGCAATGAGTGGTGGTCCCCCACAGTTGTACCGCCCATCCATTCTGAGGACCACATCCTGCCCCAGCTCTCCCATCTGCATCAGCGGATTGGATCCGTTCGATAGCGGGAGCACTTCGATGGCGCTGATGCGAGCGGGACCACCACTCGGCAGAAAACCCACGCGCAAGATGCCCGTCCATGCAAAGAGGATGAATTCTTCCACGACAGGTCGCCAGTTCAATTCCCCCCCTCCTCCTCCCCCCCCTCCTCCCCCCCCTCCCTCCTCTGCTGTTGCTGCCTCCAGCCTTACCTCTACCACCGGATCCACCCCCAGCGTCACGCTGAACGCCGCGACGGGGTAACTTGCAGGCAAACGAGCAAAATGCAGTCTCACCATATAATAATTTCCCGCGAGGATGGAGAAGAAGTAATAACCACCGTAATTGGAATTGAACTCCTTCCATGTCGCATAGATTGATACAGCAGACTCAGTAGCATTGGCGGCCGCCGCTATGCTTGTCGGTCCCAGGCTATTAATATCACCAGATGTCGAGTTGCTGTCGGATGACCAGAAGCGCCCATAAGCGTCGGTGAAAGCGAAGTTCCCGCCACAATTGATCCGCTGAGCTGCTCGCAGAAGAAACAAAAAAAAA